CCGGGGAGCAGGTGGCCGCCGCGCGCCATCGTCGAGCCCGCTCAGTGAACGTAGATGAGGCTCGAGAAGAGGCCGCATGATAAGCGGACAAAGGAGAGGCCCACCTCCAACCGGTAGCGATGTGCGCCTGCTCCTGCTCACCGCTTGGCTTGTCCTACCCCGCGGTCCCCCCCGTACGACACGGCGCACGCTGCGCATCTCGGCCTTAATTGATGTGATCCAACACGCACACCGGATGCGGGCCCGCGTGACGAGGCGTGGGGCGCACAGCGTGCACAGCTGACCTGTACGCTAGCTTTCCCCTTCTTTCCATGCCGAGCAGGCAGGAGCGGAGAACGCACGTAAGCGGTCCGAACATTAGTCCGAACATTACGGATCAGAATGCTCACGTCTTCAGCTCACTTTTCAGTGTGTGTGGCTCTTTCGAGCATATACCCGAAGGCGGACTGCAGACACGGGGTTTGTATTGGGGTGCGAGAGCGACATCGATACCGTCAGGTACCCAGGGGTTAAACAGCGATAGATGCATCCGAGGCAGCCGAAGGCCTAGAGTCGTTGCAAAGCAATAGATCCTCCACGCTGCCCGGCCCGCAAAGCGTTGGCCAGTGCAGAAATCGGTCCCGAAACGTCACACTGCGGGGCGAGACAAAGAAGCCTCCCGCCCTCGCTCGGTTCGCCACCGCGCGCAGCGCGGCGGCAGACCACCTCGAGGCTTCGAGGCACGCCTGGGGCTGGGGGCGGGCTGCCTCCGCCAGCGTTTGGCGCGCCCACCGGCGGGCTGCCTTCGCTCGCCACTCTGCCATGCGATGGGTCGCATCCCCTCTGCGCCCCGAGGGGAAGGTGCGCCCAGCAATTAATTGGTCCCGCTTGGCAAAAGCGCGAGAATCGGTCCCCCTCGCTCCAGGAACCGATCTGGCACTACACCCGGATCTATTGCTGTTAAGTGCGCCGTAAAAGGGTTCCCATGGTAGCGTGTATCGGGTGTCCCAAGACCTAATGTCTAACTAATGCCAGCCAGCCAAGCAAGCAAGCAAGAACGAGAAAGAGCAGTGACTACGACGCTCGATGGACGGATCGGTCGGGCTCATACCAGCACCCCACCGCGCGGCTGTTTTCGCCGCGCAAGATATAAAGGGTGGCTAAGGGCTCTGCCCGCAAGGCGCCCGCGCGTCGCAGACGCGATACCATTGACAAATCTGCAATATACCCCCACACGAGCAAATAGCAAGAGCGGCCGCACATTGCTCGGTACCCCCCCTGCACTTCTAAGCCCGTCCCTGCTGCTAGCGCTGCTGCTGGGGGGGGGGGGGGTCCCGACCCCCCCAGCAGCAGAGGTTTTGCAGAGCGCACTGGACCCAGCTCCCGCCTCCCGCCGCCCCCCCTCCCGCCCCCTCGGCTCGTGTTTGAGCGGTACGCTCGAGGCGGTTGTGTTCACCGCGCCTTCGAGCCCAATACACCTTCGTCGTGTCGAGTGCTGGCGTTTTACTAAAGACTTGTGACCATGGTGAGTCTATCTTGTACTACCACACATAGGCGCGTATAGTGAGCCACTCACTCGGGCGTCGCGCCTACACCAATAGTCTCATCACCGAGTGATTGCTGGCCTGTGGCGTATGACCTCGCGCGGATATCACCAACGACGAGCATGCGAAGATATTGAGCACTATCCGATGGACTTGTACAGCCCGCTGTGCTCTCCGCTGTGCCACGGCGTATGATGGGCTGCGAGAGCCGTATCTTCCCTCCTTGAAGCAGAGGCGCCGCGAGGCACGAGAGGCGTAGAAGAGAGGCTGGCGTGCCCCGCACCGCCCGGTTGGCAGTAGGAGGCCCCGCCGGTGAGACCACTGATTTTGATGCCGACCATAAATTCTCGCAACTCGAACGCATATGCTACTTACAGCTGCTGTCTGTACAGAGATGCCAGCACCCCCCACAGGCAGAGCGCTCCTGCTGGCGGCCATGGGCTTAGGTGTGCAGGGGGGGTACCGAGCAATGTGCGGCCGCTCCAAAATCCGAATACCGTGCACAAACTGCGTGATGTGACCCGTGCAAGCCTTCAGCTGTGGTGGCGCAAGACATCCGTTGTTATGACCCCCCCCAATGAGCACACCAGCGAGGGAGGGCGAGACGATCAAGGGGTCCCGTACCACACGCGGAATCGATCCTATCCAGTGCTCAAGTGCTCAAGACAAACGGCAGTGGACATGCATACCCAAAGATGTTAATTCAGGCGTGACGCGTGTGGGATTTATGGCGCCACATTTGTCATTTCTGGCGCGTGCTGGCGGCGCGGTGCGTGCAGCAGCGAGCAGGGCGCCGCCCCCCGGGGGGCAACCGGTTGGGCCGCCTCGCGACCCCCAGCTTGCACATTAGAACGTGAGCGAGCAGGCCGACCCTCACTCACAGTTCACAGCTCTCACCCTGGCCTGATTGAGCAGCTCGCCGCCGTTGTCACTCAACGTGCGTCATGCGTGATCGAGCTTGAGGGAGGAGCTCCGCTAACGATTCGGCCGGGCCACCCAACGCCGCCGCCCATACCCGCCACCCACAAAGCGCCTGCTCTACTATCCCACACCACCATCTCCACTTTCCACGGATCATGCCCGTGATAGCACCATCACTGCCGCCGTCCTGGTTTTGAACGTGGCAGCTAGACTCAGGGACTCGGTAGTTGTGACCCCCCTGAGTGAAGGAGCAGGAGAGAGAGCTTTTGTGGTGTTGGTGTACGCAATGACGGGACAGGGTGGTTGTTCTCTCTATCTCCCCTTCTAGCTCTTAGCATGAGCTGCGCCCTGTGTCCGACCCCTTTTGCGCAGCAACACCTTAAACTTTTAGGCCCTCCAAATTCGGGTCGGAGCGTAGCGGAGTGGGTGGGCCCCGAGTTTGAAAAGGGCGACGGACGGGGACGCTTGCTTGCGTCCTAGCCTCCAACAACGCCTCCCCGGCGCAGAGGGGCCCCCGGAGGGATGCTCAACCGCTCCACGCCACGCCGCTTGCGGCGGTCCTCTTCCCAGCTCCGCTGAGGGCGCGGGGTTATTTGAAGAGCGGCACAAGTTCGCCGAGGGGGGGCGGCGGGCGCCTTCGCCCTCCTCGACACGAATATGGGCGTCTGCTGCTCGCGCAAGCGCCTGGAGGTCACCTCCTCCGACATAGATTGGATCAACGACGCGTGGTCCTGCGAGCCAAACTCGGGTGCCTCCAACGTCACCGAAGGAGTGCTGACCGTGTGGGACAAGAATAACCCCGAGGTGACAAACTGGTGCGCCCCGCAAGACTGGCGCGTGAACGCAAACTACATCCTGTCTCTGCCGCAAGGCAACGACTCGATGTTCACCGTGACCGCAACCGTGGACTTTTCAAACGCGACGGGCAAGGATGGGGCCATTAATTGCAATATGTACCTCTGCGGCGGCTATCCTTCAACGGGGACTTGGACGTACGGAGACGCGTATAACGCTGATAAGAGCGGCAACACGCACTCCGAACTCGACCTCTTCGAGACGGGCGATGCCACAGACGAGAATGGTGTTCCCGTCCTCATGCAAGTGACCACTCACGATGCGAACGGCAACCAATCGTACAGCTACGTCGGCTTTGGAGGAGTTGCGCCGGCGCTCGGCGGCGCAACCATCACGATGGCGACCGAGGCTGTGGCGACCGAGCCGATGACGCTGACATGGTCTGTCTACCCTAGCGACAACATGACCCTACGCGTCGTCCAGGGCTCTGTCGACGAGACGTTCGATCTCGGGTCAGCGACATGCCACGGCCACCCGCCACCGCGATGCCAGGTCTCCCTGTAGCACCTGTCCTCCCCACCACTGTAGGTTTGTCTGCATGGACTACGACTCATTGAAATATTCTTCCCTCAGCTGCGGCGTCAACAACTCGTTTGTGCCAACCAAATCCCCGGTGAGCCGCCGCTCCCAGCGATTCTCCCAGGGACCCTCCCAGCGATCTGAGAGCACACGTAAAGCGAACCTCGCAGGCAAGGACGGCAGCGCCGCCCAACGCTTCGGACTGCGGCTGCGCGAGCGGTCCGCCCCCGGGGTATGGGGACTCAGCAACCAGCCAGCCGCGTGGGTGGTGGACCATGTCCGGCCTCTCCATCCCGAACTCCACCACGACGGAGTGCGCGGCGGCGTGGAGCGCCTCGTCGTCGGGCACAGTCCAGCCGATCTATGGTTCAAGCGTACCGGAGGGCAAGGCTGCAGCCGTCTGATACATGCCATAGCAAGCATCACCAGCATAGCAGCAGCACCACGCACGCGCCGCCGCCGCCCCGCCCGCCGCCGCGCCCCGCCTCTCACATCCTTGCACACTGTCTCTCGTGAAATCGCTTTCGGAATCCCTTTCGGCTTTCGCGAGAGAGGGCAGAGCGCACCTCGAGGCGCAGAGCGAGCAGCGATCACCGACGCCGAAACGGCGCGGGGGGCGAGTCGACGGCGTGCGACGCTGCGGGGCGGGGTCGTTTTGGTTTTTGCGTCACCACCGCAAAAGGAAAAAAACCGAACCGGCCTGCACGCTGTGCAGGGCGCACCGCGGCGCGCACGCCCCCCCGGCCCCCCCGCGAAGCGCGATCCCGCGCGGCCGGGGGGGCCGGAGGACCGGAGGTCTGACTCCACGAAGCGGCGCATGCTAGCATGAGTTGACCACA